AAACAGAGACTTGTAGATGTTGGAAATTCTTATGTTTTGCAGTTAAGGAGATTTGTCATTTTACTTTTCACCATTGCTGCTCTTCCTTCAGAACATTTTCTACCAATAAGCAACCAGTCCTTCATGTTTACACTAACATCTGCATGTCCAGTATATGTGAATAGTCATGTCATGAGCCTTTTCTGGGGCATTAACTTGCACAGAGATAATTTTTGAAACAAAAATGCTTGTCTAAATGGAGCCAAATGGAGTAAACATAGTCTTGAACAGTTAAGATTTTGAGCTACTTTGCTGACACTGCAAGTTTAAGGAGTCAACTTTCTCAAAAAACTGCCTCATTTACTTCTTCAAGTAGACACAAAGACAAAAGCAACTAGCGACTTCTTTTAGTCCATTATCCCGTTCATTACTGCAGGTATGCGTGCTAATGAAGGTTCTACGGCACCAATTATAACGTTCCTCAGCCTGATTGAGCTCTCCCTCTAATTTAGCACAACACCAATAGCTTTGCCTTGTAATAAAGAATGAGGAACAAAATACGCAAAAAAAACTGGTCTGATCCCAGCCTGAGACAGATTCATCACTCATGGTGGAACAGATTGTGAATTGTTCAAGAATCATGAGATCTGAAATAATTTGGCAGATTTCATGGCTGGTTGCCAGAACAGCTAAATACATGGTGCTGCAGTTGAGAGCATCAACATCATGGTGGAGAAATGACTGCTGCTGAAAATCATCCTATATTTTTGGATGTACAACCTTCTGTTTTTTCTCTTTTCTAGCTGACTAAACCTGCAGCCTCAATCAAACTCTCTGTCTCAGAGGACTGAAGACGTAGCTCTCTCAGAGGGAAGCGGTGTTTCATTCGTGGAAGCTTTGAAGGCTGAGCACAAGCAGTGATTACTGTGCTGCTCACATTACATAAGACAGTCTCTTGAATGAATTATCCATATCTTGAAATGAGCATTAAACATGAGGCTTAATGTCTTGTCATTGTGCTTTCACATCTGAATAGATTCCTTCGTATGGTTAATATGCTTGGTGATTAAGTTGGAGCTCAGACGCTTGAAGCCATTGGTTGTCCTACTGTGAAGATAACATTAGCCAACACTGAGGCCTTGGGCCTAATCTGGAGTTTGGAATATACTCATGAGAGCAAACTTCAGATTTGACTTAGTGGCACGAGCAGCAACGTAAGAATCAGTCTCAGTTAGAGATGAGTTTAACAAGAGCATCTGAAGAAAAGCCATCAAAATTCACTGTCGTGGGCCACAACACTGTTTAATCTTACCCTTACAAGACATGTTTATTCTGCTGGTGTTTTAGTTTCACTATCGGGTTCTGTCTCTCTCTTCACCCTCATCCCAACGGGTTGAGGCGGATGTCCACCTTCCCTCTGAGCCTGGTTCTGCCAGAGGGAATCTTTGAATCTTCTAAGTTTCTCTGTCTATCAGAGGATTGTAGCATCCTGAGTTTACTATGGGAAGTGGTGCTACGTGAACAAAACTGGATTTTATTAAACTGAAAGACAATATATCTGGTGGTTGAAATATTGGTATATGATATTCATTATGGGTCACATCAAATCATTAAATTATGCATTTACATTCCATCTCATTCATTTGAACAGTTTCTTAGTTGGCATACATCGACCCCAAAGTCCTGCCTGGACCAACACTATGAGTTTCACTGACTAGTTTACCAAATGCTAAGATGTGGCTAACAAGCTAACCAGCGCCTCTCAAATGCAGCACAGATATTGCATTAGCTTCTCCCTCGTGTCGTGTGAGCTCTGACAAAGGTTCTGTGTATTTACATTTAGTTTCAGTTCTTCACATTTTGGCAAAATGACTGTTTGAAACTGTTTTATGTAAGTTTTGTAAGATTTTGGTTATATAACAAAATGAAACCAGCTTAATTTGTCCTACAATTAGAATGATTATCAAATTTGATATTCAGCATTTTTCTAATTATCTGTGCTTTTTTTAAGTTGTTGTTTTTTGAACCAATTTCTGACATTTTAAAAAGGCAATAATTTGGCTTTGATAAAGCCGCCTCGCTCCATTAGTGACCCGACCACAGCACTACCTGATTAGTTACAAACCACGAGTAAGAGATAATCAACACATACATCTTTAAAGGCTCTCCTTTAGTTAGTTACATGTAAAACATAAATAACTAAAGGCATTGCTACGAAGTTTTGCATTGCATTTGGTGTTATTCAAAGTTTTGGAATTAGGATTTTTATTTAATTGCAAATGTTTTAAATATCGGTTATTGACACCATTCATTGCTAACAATCGGTATAAACCATGAAACCATAACTTACTGGTAGATCTCTCGATATAATCTAAATTATTTAGAATGGTTTAAAACTAGAAGGGATTTTACAGGAAGAAGACAGAGGCAGAAATTGTAATCCACTGCAAGTGCCAGAAAGGCCTGAGCTTGTTGTTGTCTATGGATCATTTTCTACACTTTCTTTACACTTACATTTTATAGATTTCCCAGTGAGCACATTTAATTATTTTTCCTGGTGAAAGTGTTTGTGCTCGGTCTCACATGACCTTTGACACTAAGCGTGTTAATGGATAGTGACGGCTCAGCGATGGGCAGCTCACGGCCTCTCATTATTAGCTGAATCCTGCCTGTGACCCTGTGAGTGTCACCAAACCTAATGACTCTGCACACATATTTACACACACGTGCACATGCATGCTGCACATTTGTCACTCTGTTTTACTCCGATTACTGGACCGAGTGAGTAATTATGAGGGCCAGGTGAGAGGAGGGGTGCTGATTGGGCAGAATCGGGCAACGGGCCTGTCGGAGAGACACGCTGAGTTAGAAATGGGAGACGGAGAGACGAATGGGCGAAGGAGGGGGTGCAGCGTGGAAAGACGAAGAGGAAGAAGGGGGGTACACGGGCGTCCCCAGATTCATGGCTTTGACATCTGCGTCCTTCTCGACTCGCTGCTCACAGCCCGTTTGTCATGCCCCCCTTCCCTCCTCCAAGCCACCCTCTTCTCTTGCTCTCTCCGTCTCCCCCATTGGTCGGCTGGGGGGAAAAAAAGAGAGGTTGGAGACGGAGCGGGGAGGGGGGCACGGGACAAAACAGATCCCTTTTCCCTGGACGCTGTGCTGTGCCAGGCATGCAGGGGCACATTT